GCAGGGCAAATTAAATGCTTGTAAAATCTACAAATGCTTAGTTACAACATTATGGACGATTTCATTCTAATGCAAATCTAATCGAACTTGCACTGAAGAAAAATTCAATAAATGATTTATCTTTTAATTTGATGCGTATTTTTTAGACTGCGTAGACACTCCGTAGTATTTTTTATGTAGTTAAACGTGTGAAAATTACCTCATTAGTTCTAATTTTAATCATAGTTTTTTACGACATTTATCATGGCAGTTCAATAAATACAAACAAAGAGTTTTTTTTAAAAAAAAAACTTTAGTTACAAGATAGAACGTAGATAGATTCTTTATGCTAAGGGGGCATCCATTAATCACGTGAGGTTTTTAGGGGGAGGGGGACAAAAAATCACGAAATATCACGTGGGGGTGGGAGGGTATAGTAAGATATCACGTGTAATTATTTTTTAACTGATTTTTTTTAAAAAAAGTTCAAAAATTACCAAAAGAAATTCAAAAATTTAACAGTTTTTTCACGTAACTAAAAATACACGTGATGTTTGTTGGGGGAGGAGGGGTGATTTTGAATATCACCATGCGTCACCAAGGGGGAAGGGGTTCCAAAAATCCTCAAAATCGCCCCCTAACTATAATCTAGAAATTATGAATTCGTTAATAACTCATTGAAAAGTAATATTTAAAGATCTAACACAATTTATAGAAGATTAATGCTTTCGCTCTAAATCAAAACAACACAATATCTATACGTGATTTAATAGAGATATTATCGTAAAGAAAACAAATCTTATCTAAAATATTGCAATCTTATACAATTTTAATGAAAGTGTTCTGAACTGGTTTCATCAAGATAACTTTCGATTGGAATTTGCGACTCCGAGTGTCAAACTGTAAAATACGCCCTAGGTTATTCGCAATTATTAAATGTATCACGCAAAAAAGAAAGTGATATAAAGATAAACAATCGCTTATATGATTCTCTTAGAAAAAAAGTCTTACGTATAAAAATTGACCGCAACTAAGAAAAAAATATTGAAGTGAAATAAAACATAATTATAAATAAATGAAATATTAACGCAGTTTTTATTATGGGCTTTTATTACCAATTTAACCATGGTGGTTATGCTTAATTAAAGAAAGAAATTACCAGTACGAAAATTGACTTATACTTTCATTTGGATAAAAAGCCGAATGTGAAACCTACTTGAAACTAATAGGTATAAAATTTCTATCCATAATTGATTGTTGTACCGAATGCAGATAGATAAAGATAGGTGCTTGACAGCAGTTTTTTCTTCGGCATTTATTATTCAAAATATCTCCTCATTATTTATTATGGTCATTATTGATGGAACATTTCTAAATATGATTAAATATAATTAGTATCAGTTGCTTATTCAATATTGAAAATTTTAAATTAAATTTTTATGAGACAAAACATTTTATGTATATAATTCAAAATAAATCAAATGACATTAAATAGTTTCATAACCTATTTCTTTAATTTAAAACATAATAGTATTCATAATTAACAAAGTTGATTTTAATTCACAACTTTCTTTTCGTTTTGAATAAATCAATTCTAAATTATAATCTTCTCTTTTTTCTCATGTTTCAGGATTTATTATCATTTGTTCTACAAAACAACAAATCATAATTTTTCTTCAACATACAGAATTAACAATCACGTTCTAGAACGATTCAATCTTCAGTTTAATTATATCGCTCTACTTATGCTATATAAAGTGGTAATATATAAAGTTGATACATTATAAACATGATTCCAGAAATATATTACAATAAGAATATTGGTTGGGGATTTCATAGAAATGTGAATAAAGACAAACTCTATGAATGTAGAAGTTTATTTATAAATATTCACAGAGCCAAACAAATAAAAAAATGAATATTCTTTTTTTTTTTAAAAAAAAAATCTTAAACCAATTTTATATTTTTGTATATCTGAGTCAGATAAAAATCTTTCGCGAATTACTGATGTAATAATATCATTATGCTATACAGTGAATCATTTGCTTTACGACACTCTATTCCTTACACATTTATAATTACTAATAATTATGCAACATACTAAATAATCCATCTGCATATAATTTTACTACGATGAAATACGCAACACGAAAACTCTCTAGGAAGAACAATGAAACGATATTTCAAATCTTTAGAATATGAAACTCAATTATTTACCGGTCATGGGAAAATAGTTTCAAAACCATTACACAGGAATGCTATAATATTCTTTGAAAGCACGTGAAATGATTAAAATCGCTGAAAATTTATTATTAATGTAAATTGTCTACTGCAATAGTGCAAAATCATGAGATGATTATATTCTGTATTAGAACTAAGAAATTAGCATAACATCCGTGAAATGTATATTCATTTTATTAATTAGCATCATCAGCAATGTATACATGATGAACTGATACAATAATCAGCATATAAAACAGAATTATAAAATTATAGATGTTAAGATAAATAAGTATTATCAATAGTAAGGTATTACTAATTTCCGGATCTTCCTTTTTACTAATTTGTAAAATATTAACCATCATTCTATAAAAAAGAATTCAATGAATTTTTTTGTTGCACGACTTCTACTATGAAATAATATAAAGTAAAAGACCAGAGTTGAATTTAAATATTTCAATAATTATAAATTTGAATTTTTTTTTTGTTGCACAACTTCTACTATGAAATAATATAAAGTAAAAGATCAGAGTCGAATTTAAATATTACAATAATTATATACATATATAGTTTATCTTATTATTCAACGCATGTCCACTTCATTTTGTAATACAAATTATTCAAGCATTAAGAAATATTTCAATAAATATTCATTCAAATCCAATGTTTTCACTGAATTATAAATCTTCAAGAAACATATTGTTGTGGGTTTGATAGCAAAAGCGAGGCCAGCCGGCCCACTTTGGTTATTTAATAACCTCTAATGAAATCGATACACATGATGTTAAGTCACTGAAAGACTAACATACTAAACATATAAACAAGCATATATAGGCCGTTATTATTTGAAAAAATCTGTTTGTGCAAATATCATTTGTTGATAATATTTACACAAAATTGTATATGCAATTCAAACTTGACCTATAGGTACATACTCGATTTTTGTTCTCTACTATTTCTCGAAAAGCTTCCAAAAACCAAAAACTGTTTTATACATTTTTTGTCAAAAGCATAATAAATTAAATAAAATGAATAGGTGAAAACCTATACATTTTTTCCCTGAATACTTTGTAGTAGAAACATAAAAGAATAAATTAGTAGATACTATTCCCTTTATAGACTAGATTTTAAATATCTTCAATTATTAACAATCTTGGGAAGGAAGGATACTACACATTTGAAAAAGTACAATTATTCTATTTATAACATGAAACTGAAATAAACACATTTCAGTACAGATTATTTAATGAATATAAAAATAGTATATGTGTCATTTACAAACGACGTTTTCATATAAAATTCATGAACTATAAAACCGAATTACATTATATCAAAATCGATAAAATGGAAGAAATATAGTACGTAGTTATTAAGCAATTTGCTTTTGTAACGATAAGAAAATTATAACAAACGCAACAAGCGGTGTAATGGCAAAAATTATACAATAATAATAATGCATTTATTAGAAAAACAAGCGGATAATAATATTATGTAAGTCTTGAGCAAATAGCAATAAGAGGCTGTACACATAGAAAAATGGCAATAATGACTATATAGAATAATATTTATAATCCGTTTATAATTATCAAGATCTGATTTGAAATAAAATTAATGGAGTCAACTCCATTCGTCAATTCATTGACTTGCACGAAGATTGACTCATCTGAAGTTTAAACATAGTTCTTATGATTACTTAAATCAATGGGCCGATTCTGTAGTAAAATAGAACAATATGACAAAGCTATATTACGTTCCAGTTTTCATACAAAATGGTACTAAATACTATCAAAATGCCTGCGGCACGATCAGTCGTTTTCCACATAAAATGCAACTTCACTCATATGTTGTGAAGCCATATCTCAAAGATACAGTCACGTTAACATCGTTTTTTGCCATTTGAGCGTTTTCTAGACTAGGTTTTCTATCTAAAACGACTGACTGCGTTCCACATAGGATTTTGACAGTTATTAGTACCACTTTATATGAAAACTGCTACATAACACAGCTGTACTTTATGTTTCGTAGTTATAGAATTTATTAAAACTCTCCTTCGATAATTCGGTTGTTGGGTTATAATTTAACCCTTATAGCTGTGTACTGTATTAAACACTGATTTGTTTGTATATTATGTATTTGTTGCAGTTCTAATTACAATCACTGATTTGTTACTAAGTTATAATGAAAGAATATATATTTATTTTTATTGGTTATGTACATGTCGTTAAACGGACTTTACTTTTTGAAATGAACAACTAGTTCCATTAAAACACTCCGCTACCCCCTCTACCAGGGGTAGCAACCATTTCGTGTAAGGCTTAATGCCCTGAAGTTTATCACCTTCATGGCCAATATAATAAAACGAAAAGACGTCCGAACACCAGCCTTGCCTATTTTATGGCAGAATCGGCCCCTTAAAGTGATTTATCCGTGCAAACAATATATTTCTGTGAGATATTGCTTTGAATTAATTAATTTCAAGGAAACAGTGTAGTATCTTCATATGGTATAAAAAATAAATTTGGAATGAACAGAATTTTAACGCATTATTTCAATGGTTCAACGATTATTATTTAAATTCATTAAATTTGTTTTAAGCTAATTTGTTCGTAATACCTATTATCTTTATTGAAGTTTTGAATTATTAAAACCCTAAACAAAAAGAAGACTGTGCAATTTAATTAAGAGCAAAAGTGTCAAAAAATCACCAATGGCAATACTTTCAATGAAAATTAAACCCAGATACAGTAACATAGAATGTCATGTTAACCAAAAACAATAAATAATTTTTTTTTTCAACTTACAGTTCTTCGCGTTGCCGTTGTGACAGCACCATTTTCATGTTTTCTCAAGATGCGTCTTCTGCGCGCGGCGTAGAGGCCTCTGGCTGATGAGCAACAGGGGTCGCTATAGAGATTCTGCGCTCTCTTGACCAAGAGAGCTGTGTGTAATGGTTTCTTAATTCAGTGCTATTGTTATTATTCTTCGACAATAAAGAAAATCGAAACGGTCTAATAGGAAACGACCGCGTCGTCCATCATCTGGAAAAAATAAAAAAAATATTAATAGGGGAGCTAGAAGCTTTATGCAACAGGGGTAAGTAGGAACAGGCGTTTTTCAATAGGATCTTGAACGATATAAGAATATTTTTTATCTCGATTGGACATGTAAACCGTCCTGCATAATATTGTCATAGCTACTGTCCCGTATGCCGATGTAGTAGTATACAGAACTGTGCAGGTCCAACATTTTTTAAGTGTAATATAAAATTACTATCAAGAGATTTCGGTCGGCGTTATTATTATCAACTAATTTTAAATTTTATATTTCTTAATCTGCTTCAAATTTATCAATCTTTGATAACATGTTTCAATTTTTATGATTGCTAAATTGTTTAAAAATAGTTATCTTGATTCAATAGAATAACAATAAAATTCAAAGAAGATTGGGAGGAATCAGTAGTTTGTGACATGTAGACACATGTAAATTGTGTTACAGAAAACACTATAGTTTTATTTGTAATAATTGTAGTTTACTTTGATTTACAATTAGAACTTCTATGACAGGAGATACTATATTTTTCATGTATCCACGTATCAATCATAGTTTACGTTGATTTATGAAAATAATTACTTAGCAACATATATTTTTTCTTAAAAATAAGCAAATAATAAATTATCAGAGGTACTATGATCGTTTTTTGACGTTACTACTTGTTCCGGTAGTTGTTACAACTAGATCCAATAACGGTGTAAGTTGTAACATCGGACATTTTTCTAGAAAATGTTTAATTATGAAATAATAAATTATTATTAATATTTTATCGGATTTGGTACAGGAATATGTACATCATCTTTTCATCTGTATTTCATATTAGAAATGTCATGAGTGGGGATCTCAATATACACGAGTAAAAAAAAATTGTTACAACAAACCCTTAGCTCTTCTACTCATTTTACCATAACATTAGCAACATGAAAACATTTTGCAAGTTATATTCATACATAAATCGTATATGCACAATTTTGCATTGATCTATACTTAACAACTCATTAAGCAAAAAATGTTTCATTCTGCGCACCACAAAAATACTGGTTTAATATCTTTCCATCGGCAAAGTTAATTAGTATATAAAAGATTCAAAGTTAATCTTTATGACAATTTTATAGTCCTATAAAAATATATTCCAAACTTTGATATAACCATGGTATCAAATTTATCTGGAAATGGTACTTCACGAGCAAATTAAAAGCAAAATATTGAAGGCGATAAAAAGACAAGATAATATTTTTTGGCATAATTAGCTTTATACATAATTTCCAGTATATTAATAATATTAACTATTATACAATCACAGATAATTCCCATCGTTCGAGAACAATAATTACAGTGCATAATTAATAAAAACAAAATGTTACAACACGAATCATTGAATAGAAAAGCATATAAATCATGGTAATGTAATTTCCATTAAGCAACAATACTACTAATCATAAACGACAAGCAATATAAATTAGGTTTTTCAAATCATACAATCATTCAAATAGTGCAATCGTTCAACTTTTGCAATACTGTAATAACAAAGTAATAAAGTTATGTAGAGGTTATATAATAAAATGTTTATTATAATAATCAATGATATTTTCCCGCCAATGTATAATCATATGTAAAAAAGAAAGCATAATTTTGTTAAACAATTGCCAAATATCTATAAAAAATATATTGAATAAAATAATCTGTGTGGATAATCAACTAGAAATAACTTTTGTTTTAACCAGAGACTTCTCAAAGAAGAGAAAGTGTAAATAAACTATGAAATTTTATCTTGTATTCGGCTTGAAATCTACGACTGAAAGTAATAACACGGATTGTCAAAGACAATAATGAGCATGTGATTGAATCTGCAGTATAATGAAATTAATTGTAGATTGAGAAACGAATTTTTAATAATACTTTAATGTGAGATAATGAATCGAGCTCTAAGAAACATTTATTTCTGCAGGTGGTGAACATTAACTTATTAAAAGTTAACTGTTAAAAAAAATGATTTACATAAAGAAAACTCATCAAGAAATAAACGAGTAATCTATCAAATACATGACGATAAAATAGATACAAATGATTTGCTAATTAACAATGTCATATCAGAATGTTCAGTTTTCTAGGATATTAACTTAGTTTAAAATTTAAGTAAACAATGAAAAAATATCCTTATTTACTTAATCAATAAACTAACTTTTCATCTAAGGAACTTGACCAGATTAAAAGAAGTATCTATATTAACAAAATGGGTACGACTTTATCGATTAGATGAATAAATTAAAATTTGTTACCATAAAAGGCTACGTCGACAACCTAGATACCATAATCCCTTTTTTTTAAAGTCTAGGTGACATTAAAACAGGTGCTATATCAATTTACAACCTACTAAATAGGACATAAAAGAAATTTATATTTTGATTGATGACTTTACTGATTAGTAGTGAAACGCATTTAATAGCGATATTGATGTAATAGTAGTAAAATCATGGCACATAAAATCAGGAATGTTGTTTAAAATAATCGGTGCAAAATATAAACAATTATGATTAGTAATATGAATTGTAAGCAAACACGGGTTATATAAATAATTTACATTATTTATCGCGTGCACGAAAACATTGTAAATATTATTTCATTGACAATGATTTGGTGCAACGGTTATTTTCCTAAGATATTTCATTTAGATAAAATATGAATAATCCAATTTGTATCATTGTTTCATAGTTCCCAGATTTCGGTATCAATCAGATATTTTAGAGTATTCCAGCATAATATTAATATGTGGGAGGACGACGGCCCAATGATGTCACATTATACGCGTAAAGTATATAAATAGAATATTTGATGATGATAGCGTAATTCAGAGAACTCTTAAAAGAGTTTATTCTGCGCGTTAATAATACAAAAAATCAATAAATATAGTCATACAAATATATTACGATAATTGGAATATTGATTTGTTATTTATGAAGACTATCCCAAATCATAATTAAAATAATATTTTCCATAAAAATATTAAAAAAATGATATCGCAATCGCTGTTGTCCTAAATTTTACAGACAATAATGAGATAAGGCAACAAGTGCAATATTTTATAAAAAATATCTAACGTTGTCACTAGATCACAAGATTGAGTCTAGTCGCTTACAAAGGTAAACATTGTGCATTTTATACCTAATTTCGTAATGGATAGTAGAGAACTGTTTCTAGTACCACAAACTAAAAAAAAAAAATCGACAAGAAATTGTTTTTTTTTTTTTTTCAAAAAAAAGAACAAGTAAATAATAGTCAAAAGTTCTCTATGATGATTTTTGTTCTTCAATCGCTACAAAATTATAAAAATAGTACATTCAGAACACTGAGTTGTTTTTGCATTCCTGGTTTATTATATATAAAAAAGCATAGGTTTTTGTAAGGGGGCGTCCATTAATCACGTGAGCGAGTTTTTAAGCATTCTTGGTCTCCCCCTCCCCCTTGGTGATACATGGTGATATTCAAAATTACCCCCCCCCCACCAAACATCACGTGTATTTTTAGTTACGTTATAAAACTGTAAAATTTTTGATTTTTTTTTTTAAATGTTTGAGTTTTTTTTAAATCAGTTAAAAATAATTACACATGATATCTTACTATACCCCACGTGATATTTTGTGATTTTTTGTCAAAACTCCCCCTCCCCCTAAAAAGCTCACGTGATTAATGGACGCCCCCTAAGTAGTAATAATAAGACTGCTACTTCTAAATTCGCATTAATATTTTATCGTCTTAAACAACACGAGAAACTACTATTTGAAAAAAAGATCATTACATTTGAAGCTAATTTCATAAAGATTTAAATTGAGAATTAGCAAGAAAATATGGACATCACAATTAATAATTTATGAAGCAACCATAAATTTGCAATCCCACGGTTATTATATTGCGATTACGATTAATTTTAGTATCCTGCCATGGAGCAACAATATTATTTATTTTATATGAGGGATTACAGGAGAAATGCGACACTAGAATTTATACCTTTACAACACTGATAGTAAAATGTGCGGATATACAATTCTATTCTCTACTAGTTAGCGTCACGCTGTGGTGCAATACTATAGAAAATGTCGTGAAATTAATACTGTCCTGAGTAACTTCCTATATATAATGTACCAATAGCGTAAATAAATAATGTGAATGATTTATTATTAGTTAAAGCTTTACGAATTAACGATATCTGATTGTTGATGCAAACAAAAAAATACACAGAAAAATTAGTAAAAGCAATAGTAAATCCATCCATCCAATCCAAAATCAATTTGTCTTAATAGTTTTGAGATGATTAGTCAATATTACGCTTCATAAAAGTTTTACTGGTCTTCCTAGTAAAGTACTCAAGATTGCTAAACATATATTCCAGTTCAGTAATTTAAGCTTAAGTTAGGTAAGAATCTCGGAAATCGACGTACCTAGCTGTAAGTCTGTAAATACTTGTATATTGACACTAAAAAGTTGTCTCAAAACCTACTATTGATTATAAAATTTCATGATATAAAAATGACTATCATTTTGTTTCTGTCTCAAAGCCCAGAAAATAATCCCAAGCTTGCTTGATTCCGCACACACCCCATATGTAGGTTCTGAGACAACTTTTTAGTATATAATATAATATACAAGTATTTACAGACTTACAGCTGGGTATCTCGAATTTCGAGGTGAACTTACTATAATGACTGGACTAATATGAACGTTTTAATTGTGATTCAATAACGTTATCAAGCTTTAGATGATGAATTTCGGATAGCTTTCCTCTTTGGTCACTAATAATTATTAATATATTAATATTAATTAAGAAAACTCAATTTTTAAAACTAGCAAAAGTATAAAGACCATAAGAGAGACTAACATAAATTTAGTGAAAGTAATTATTCTAATCTGTAGGAAAGGCAAAACTTAGGCAATATATTTTTTAACAATAGACGGAGAGTAGTATGGTATATATCTAAATGCAACGTGCTAC